AGTAGCTGTGTGGCATTATGCTGTGTTCTAAGAAGGTAACAGAAGGATACAAATTCCAAATTAAATGTAATTCAGAAAGCATGTATCTATGGCTTTGGAACTTGTTACCACCATATACTGTTTTCAAGACTTTAACTTCATAATCATGTTTTATTTAGGTTACCTTTCAAGCTGATTTCAAGTCCTGAATACATACATCAGAGTGGGGGTTAAGTCATTTTAAAGAACTAGGTGATATGGGTGGAAAACTAGCCAGAGATTTAAAATATAGTATGGAAAATCCACCTTTTGGACATCTTACTTCTGACTGACTTGATGTAAACCATATCTCATTCACTGTGGAGGTCTTCTAACTCCCTTGGTCAACTGGAGACATTGATTACTGTGAATAAGCTAATTTTCCTATATTAATGAATGACTTACTGTTGGCTTAAAGAACTGATTTTACCTGCAAATACAAAGTAACTGATTTCACATTTTAAATATGAATTATATTTAAAGCCAATATACAAAGTAAATTTCCAGGATTCAATTCCTTAGAAACTAGCTATGTATAACTGCAACTGAGGAAAAGTTAAACCTCTGCCAATACCTTCAGTTCCCAAGCTGTTATCACAATGGGCTTTTAACACAAGGAAGAAAATCCTTCCCCTTTTCCATAAACACAATCAGGTTTAAGAGCAACTTCAAATGAAAAATCATTAAATAAGTAAGTTAATGGGTTGAGAAAATAAATATTTAAAAACCTAAAGTTATCTGTTTACTAAGTGTCAATATATTTTCCCTTATCATGATTCCTTCCTACTTATTTTTCATTTGTTAATCATTGAAGTAACTCTAAATAATACAAAGAAAAAATGAGTGTGCTTTAAAAAGTAAGTGATAATGCATTTACTCAAGCTCATTATTATTAGTCCTCACCAGCATCATCTGAATTAAAACAGCTATAAATAATTTCAAAAACAACAAACTCAGACTGGCTTATCAGAGTAACATACTTAGAGTCCTAAAACACTGTACATATCAGAGTAAATGATACAATGTCAACTAAGGTGGAGTGTTGGGGGAGAAAAATTAGTACTGGTCTGACACACACTATAAAGATATGA